CGATGTGGAAACTATCCCAGCGATGACGAGGCCATGGTTTGATGAGGGGGGGGGGCAGGAAGGAGGTATGGTGACTAAAGATTAAGCAAGTGGTCACCGTGTTTATTGGTAACACCTGCGCCATGTTGATGTAGAATGCGTGGCCAGCTGTCATAGTCGACGTCGACCACTGATAACGAAGTGATAGTTTTCGGTCGTTGGTCGTCAACCGACCAAATTGGCGATATTTCTCCTTAAATACTGCTGCATTAAATAATGACTGCACATGACAAATAAAAGCACTAGTATCTACGCGATACATAGAAATGCATAATATGACTACGAACAAAATACATCATAAAGTGAACAGACAACTAACATACACATTCGATACTATTAAGTCGTTTTAAATGCTGTTGTATTTGACATGATGTCCGGTCATTCACTTTCTCTTCAGCGTGAACTTAAGTAGGTAATAAGTTCAACTGTTTTAAAATGCACAACTTTTTTCTTGTTTGAAAAGGCGTAAAAGACTTCTCATCGCATAATAGTTAGAGTTGAAAACTGATATCAACCTTGTTCACCTCGATGAAGGCCTGTGAGACGAGTCGAAACGTTAGTGCCGGTTAATCATCCGATTGACCAGTTTGCTTGCGTTATGTATAGATAAACTGTTTTTAGTTTTCAGTATGATCACCAGTGCACGAACGAAATTCTCACTCATAAATATAACTTTGATCTGTTTGTCAACGGTTTCGAAAATTTTCAAGGCACAAAACATGCAGGTCATTTAAATGTTAACTTTTCAGCGAGAACGCTTGCTCAAAACGCTCTTGGCATGAAGGAGTACCAAAAGGCCGACCTCCACCGCGAAGATCAGAGCGCACGAACAGAAGCCGATAGTCGCAAGCCATAAGTTCCACCTGACCAAGTGATAGCCGGTAACGACCACTAACGCTACCAGCTGCAACGCAAAGGTAGCTCGAAAGTGGGCCGGCTCGCAGAATGCAAACAATCCGGGGACAGCGAAACAGACAGACAACGACAACAGGGCGTTCCGATTCCTACGTTGCTGTATACTGAGGATGTCCGAGTTCACGGTCGCGTCTTCCTGCAACCGCCGGCCGACGATGACCATCAGGTCACTGACACTGTCCGAAACTGATCTTCGGGTTTGGTCGGTTGAGGGGGTAATGTCCTTCATGCAGACGCCATGCACGAACTGTCTTCGGGAAGTGAAAGCTTCTGGTCGTTCGTCGTCGACTAACAACAGTTGTCTTAACTGCTCAACAGTGACATAGGCGATAGCAGCGAGATTACACGAGCTGTTCGGAAGCGTAGAGTCTACATACCGGCTTCTATTTCTGCATTCTTCCAATGCCTCTTTAGAAATGTCTACTATTTCCTTCGCAACGCACGCCGACAACTCGTCGCATGTCGATGAGTTTTCACATACCGAGAAAACTTTTTCAAATGCCATTAGACTTTCTTCAGAGGGCACGTTTGCATAACAGTTCAAAATTAGGCTTAAGATAAACAAAATCGGCATGCAAATAGTCATGACAATCCAAACCAGCGCTTTTAAAAGCCAGTGTTCGGAAGTTAAGACGATTACGGCTAATGCTAGTTACAGTTACCAGTTTTGATCTGCAAGCTAGATGACTCAGTACTTGGCGATTGCTTTTTATTAAGTGCTTACTACGGTGATGC